TGGTCAATGAATTTGTATGTTATGTCATGCCCTGTTTTGTATGAGATATATATACTATAAAGTCATATTAATATGTTTTGAATAAACTACCTAGGGTAAATTTTCATGTTAGATATCATACTATGATCAAATGAGATGTTAGTATCATGTTAAAAGTGAGGGATGTGCTTGATGTTATTGTGTGATGTTTATGCATGTTGTGATTTTGGGAATGCTCAACTATGAACTAGGAGAATGTGTGCTAGTGAATTGTGATTACATGTTTTTATGGGATGAATTGTGATGTAATATGCCATGAAATAATGAATATTCAAAAAGCATAGTTAGGTAACAATGGGTAGAAAATGAAATAATGTATGACCCTTATGCGTGAATTAATAATGAATTAATTAATAATGGGTAATACATGTAGCAGGGGTAAAGGGTAGTCACCTAAACTTAGCTTCCTACCCTATCCGGATTTAGCAGTGGCCTATTAGGTTGAAACAATACCGATGAGAAAAGAGCTTAAGTCAAACAGTGTCGAGTGGTTTTTTAGGTAATCATTTCGAAACATGATCCCAACGTGAGGGGGCTGGAGTGATGTTGGCTACAAAGAGATGCCGAATCAAGCACCACGTTTTGGTGGGGTATATACTGTGAAAATACCAAGTGGTACCACTCCCGAACGACAATGCATTGTACTCATGCATGCAACGTCGGAGTAGTGAATGTGAAGAACTAGAGACAATGTTGTGGGTGAGAGTCGAGCCTCACTTTGTGCATTGCTTCGTCAGGTCACATTCCTTGGGGGTTAGCGGTGTTATAGACCCTTATTAGCGTTGACATTATAAGTAATTATTGCGAAGGTAAACATTTAATAACTACTGCGGTGAAATGTCAAAATTAATATATGCATTATATATTGATAATAATAAGCAATGTAAGATGAACAGTTTGAAACATGTTACATGACTGTATTTGTGACTGATAGAATTGTATGAAATATGCATGTTTCCATACCTATATGAGACTGACTCACTGTGATGTGTGATGTTGTTGACACTTGATCTTGTTGTGTTTATCATGCTTGCCTTGCAATGGTACATGTTGCTAATGAGTGAGGCTTAGTCAGTTTGGACTGCACTTTTTAGGTAGTTATTACTTTCCGTATCAATACCACTTGGACATTTCATGTTGGTTTTCTTGGATTTTGAACTACTCTGTTTCCTAAATGTTTTGAACATGGTTGTTTTTAGGTAACTTTGGAGATTATTAAACATTTTAATAAAGTCTTCCATTGCATTTTAACGTTAAATGATGTTTTAAAAAAACAGTAGTAAAAATCACGATGTTACATTATTATATATTAATAAATATTATATATATATATATATATATATATATATATATAAACAAATATTGTTTTATTGGATTGTTAATTTCTTTTAGTTAATTCTTTTTCTAATTTCTTTTTTATTGGATTATTATATTCATAAATATTATTTTTAATATACAATATCTATATATTAATAATTATTACTTTATTGGATTATTAATATTTTTAGTTAGTTTTGCTTTTTTAAAGGGTTAGTTGTTCATTTTTGATCACTTAACTTTTGATTTTGTGATCATTTGGTCACTTAACTCATCTTAAGTTTTAAAAAAGTCACCGAACTTTTGGCTTTGTGCTCATTTAGTCACCTAACTTTTGAAGTTATGCACATTTTTATAACTTTATTTTAAAAGTTTAGTGACTAGATGAGCACGATTTTAAAAGTTAGGTGACTAAATGAGCACAAAGCCAAAAGTTAAGTGACCAAACAAAAAGTTAGGTGACTAAATGAGCACAAAGCCAAAAGTTTGGTGACCTTTTAAAGCTTAAAATAAATTAAGTGACCAAATGAGCACAAAGTCAAAAGTTAAGGTGACCAAAAATGACCTAAAACCTTTTTTAAATTTCATTTTACATAAAATAATAAAAAAATGGGGTTTTTTGTCATTCGAGAAATGAAGAACATGTAGTTTCCGGTATATAAACCACAAGGCCAAAGGGTATATTTCCCACATCCAGGAGCATGGAGAGCTTCCAAGTGAACAAACGACACCACCACAAATCACCAATGTGGTCGTTAGTATACTCACAATGTAGCCACGAAGAAAGAGAAGGGAAAGAAGAAGGAAGAAAGAGAAGGATAAGAGGTATGACCTCACATGGTGCAGACCACACCAACCAACAACAACCGACGCTCGTGCTGCCAGGGAAGCACAACGTCACCACAAGGTTGTGTACACGGTTGTGGTGAGATACCAACATGGCCACGGACGCCTCTCATGACCGGTATACCCTTAGGCCTAATATTGAACAAAAACACTTTGTTAAGTGGTTGATTGTGTAATAGTTTATCTAATTTTGATTATTTTTCATCTTTTATAAAAGAAATCCAAATTTTATTATTCAGGTACTTTCGCAATATTATCTATGATTGTCTTTTTGTTTAATTACAAAAGGTGTTTGTAACCTAAAAAAATAGGTCTAGTGGTCTAAAGGATGACTAAAGAAGAAAAAAATATTAAGAAGAGGGTTATAAATGTCAAAAGAAGGAAAGTTGGTGGTATAAATATCAAGTAAAGAAAAAAGGGTATAGTTAGCCAAATCACCCTAAATCAAGCTAGGAGATGATTTTCAAGCATGCTTTCGTGGGTTCTAGGAAACAAAAAGTAATATTTCTCTCTCTTCTCTATTTCCTAGTTAACCGTGGTATAATTGTCTGCTACTTATTTTTTTCAGTGGAAGAATCAAAATCTTTCTTGGAAAAATCATCTCCTATACAACATCCCTCCAGTCAAATCGTCATACATATGAAAAACCCCAAATTTTTTTTCCATTCGTTTTTCCTTGAGCAAACTTAACTCCTCAATTATTTCCACTTTCTTTTGTGTCTCCTTGTCGGTACAAATTAAACAAATTGATCTTGAGAGATCCAAAACTAGTTATACGAATGTTGCATCGGAGCTTGACTATATTGGTGTTGATATTGTGAGTATCGAAGGTAATTTAGGATTTGGGTTTCACGAATGGAAAATGAAAAATCTTGCAAATCGCTATCGTTTTAAGTTTCGACGGTTTCGTCTTTGGCATGAACCTGTTTTTTTGGATTTGCCACGCTTACAGTAACTTCGGGTCATGATGCATAATCTCATGTTCACACAAGATATTAGTCGTAGTGCACGTAAGTTGACCCGAACACTCTCGTTGAAAGAGATCATTCTTTCCAAAAAAAAAGTTGGAATGGATTAAAAATGTTGAATGAAATTATAGAAAGTTAAAATTAAATTGGAGAGAATGTGTAGTTTTTGAAATGGTAAAAATATAGTTATTTATAAAAATGTTAAAATGTTTTTTTTAATTATTGACCGTTCACCAACAAAAATAAATAGAGAAAAAGAAAGATTGATCAGTTCCACCAAACCGTCCAACAAGCAAAATGCAATACCACCTGGCGGTGGAATGGTGGGGTCGGCATACCGTCCCTCATCTTGCACCCTATATATCTTGACTATGCACACTAACATTTGAGTAGGGATGAGATTTAGAACCGGAAAACCAGACCGGAACCGAAACCGGAACCGTTAGAACCGGAATATGTAGAACCGGTCCGGGTCCCGGGGTTTAAATAATAGCTTTATCCGGGTTCTGGGTAATCTGAGTTTTGGGTCCTCCGGGTCCGAGTAAACCGGATTTAGGAACCCGAACCGTGTTAGGAACCGGAACCGGTTTCTATGAAAAGTTTAAAACATGCATATCTCATTCGTTTGAAGTCGGATTTGCATGAGGTTTTTTCTAGAGTGTAGTTTATAGTTTGTACATGATGTTAGACTATAATTCTGTCATTTTTGAGTTAATATTAAATGACTTACAGTCCTTCAAAGTTGAGATATCAAAGCTGGACATTTTATGTTTTTCAGATTTTTTATTTTTTATTTTTTATTATTATTATTTTTTTGTATTATGTAAATGTTTTAAAACATGCATATCTAATTCGTTTGAGGTCGGAAGAGCATGTGTTTTTTTTCCAAAGTGTAATCTAGAGTTTGTACATGATTTTAGACTATAATTTTGACATTTTTCGTTTCATATTCATTGACTTCCAGATCCCCAAAGTTGGGATATCAAAGCTGTGAATTTTTTGTTTTTCAGCTTTATTTTGTATTTTGTGAAATTTTAAAAATGCATATCTAATTCGTTTGAAGTCGGATTATCATAAGGTTTTTTTTTGCAACGTGTAGTTTAGATTAGACTGTAATTTTTTCATTTTTGGTTTCACATTCATTGACTTACAGTCACCCAAAGTCGAGATATCAAACTTGTGAATTTTCGGTTTTTCAGTTTTATTTTTATATTTTGTAAAGTTTTAAAAATGCATATGTAATTCGTTTGAATTCGGATTATTATGAGGTTTTTTGCAACGTGTAATTTAGAGTTTGTACATGATTTTAGACAATAATTTTGTCATTTTTTGTTTAATATTCAATGACTTATAGTCCCCTGAAGTTGGGATATCAAAGTTAAAAATTTTCAAAGTTTGAACCACTAAGTAATTACCAAAAAATTCTGGATTTCCCAGGTTTTTCGGTTCTAGACCCACTTTACCCGGTTCCTCTTGACCCACTTTAATGTTTCCCGGTTTTCCGGTTCTAGATCCACTTTACCCGATACCTTACCCGGACCCGAACCGAAATCGGTTCTTATATACCGGTCCGTTTTTCGGTCCTACAAAATCCCGTTAACCGGTTCCTAGGTTTTCCGGGTCCTGATCTACCAGTTTGGGTTTGGACCCACTCTCATCCCTACATCTGAGTATATGTCAAGGGACAAAAATGTAAATTTGGCCTTGATTTAAAAAAAAAAAAGAGAAAGACTAAAGAAAAATAATTGGTAAGACACAAAGGGAAGGGTTTGGTAGCTCAAATCGGTTAAAAGTAGGTACCCACGTGCCGTCCCCTCTTGTCAGTTGATGGCGCGTTATTCCGAGAATTTCGAAGCATTCAAATCCCTCTGTTTCTCTCTCTCTCTCTCTCTCTTTCTCATCCACCTCAAGAACGAAGAAACCCCCAGATTCCAGATTGAGGTTCCCCTCTTTTCTTAATCCAAATAACGAACCTCCTACACCTGAAAAATGATGGAAACCCGGCAAACTTTAATTCATTAGGTAAAAAAACGGCAGCTACCCTTCAATTTCGTTGAGAATCATCGCTAGTTAAACTATTACGTCCATGGAAAAAGATTTAAAATTTTCAGGTACCCTTTTCCCTCTTTTCTGTATATGCTTTTGTGAGTTATTCTTGCTTCCCAATTTTTTTCTTTTGTCTGCTGTCGGTTTTCATATAACGTGATTAATTTCCTCGCCTGTGAATTCAAAATATGCGGCTAACCTGTTTGATGAAATGCCTCAACAATGATATGTAACTTTTTGATTGCCTGATTCTAAGTTATTGCAGCCAGACATAGAGATGCATTAATTCTTTCTACATAATGTTGATAAGTTGAGGGCCCTTTATAAACAAAGTTAACAAATTACATTTCTGATACAGGGAGTGGAGGATTTCTGTTCATAGCCCTATTGGATTAAGTTTTGGCTTTCTTTGGCTGGATTATAATTTATAATTCCCTTGAAGTAAGATAATAATGTCAATACACAGCTAAGAAATCATCATAATTCATCACTACATTCTAATTTGAGACAATGAAAAGTGATGTTTCACGAACTTCAGGAGAACAAATTCTAGAGAATATTACAAGGGATGAAATTGATGTAGACTATTATATACGTAATGTATCTGTACAAACAGGTGAAGAGTTTTCACCATATTTTCTTCAAAACCTCACTCATAGAAGAAGAATGAACAATGGTGAATCATCTTCCCAAGAGTATCATCGACAAGATAGTATTACATTAGGAAGAACTCAAGATTGTTCTCAAGGATTCCATGGCACAATTACTAGAATACCCTCAGGAAATGTAATAGATCAAAAGAGAGTTGGAGTTGGAGTTGGAGTTGGAATCCAATTCAATCAAAATGAAAGATATGAGTATCAAATGGATGATTCAACAGGAGGATACTATCATAAAGATTATGACATTAGAGGATACAATCAACACCCACAACAACAATCATCAACTTATACGAATGAAATCCAAATTCATAAAGAGAAAATGAAATTTCTATGCAGTTTTGGTGGAAGAATATTGACAAGAGCAAATGATGGGAAGCTTAGGTATGTAGGAGGGGAGACACGAATTATATCTATTAAAAAAAATCTTAATTATCAAGAACTCGTGAAGAAAACCTACACCATTTGCAAGCATCCACATGTGATAAAATATCAGCTTCCTGGTGAAGATCTTGATGCACTTATATCCGTTTGTTCTGATGAGGATTTTCATCATATGATAGATGAATATCATGAGCTGGAAAAAGGGTCTAAAAGACTTCGAATATTTCTTGAATCTTTAAACTCTGAGAGTCAATATTCTTCTGAGAACTCGTATAAATATGTGGCTTCTATGAATGATGTTACAATTCCAAGTCCTTTAAAGAGTTCAATAGATTCCATCACAAGTCTTGAAAATGAGACTCCAAGTTCTTCAAATGTGGCAAAAATGCTTCTAAATCCAACTCAACTTATGAAATCTCCTTCGTTTCAATATAGAGATCCAATAAATTCTCAATTGAAAGTCAATAGAGATCAAATCGAACAACCATTAAATGAAAACAACCCTTTTCTTATCCATGAATCTTCAATCCAATCTGAAATTTTTTTTCAATGTCATCAACAAAGCCATAATGTGAGAAATAATTCGTCTTCATTACTTAACAAACTTGAAGATTTTGCTTCATTTGTGCAACAAGAGGATATGATAAAGGAGAAAACACAAATATATAAATGTGAGAATCAAGAAACAATCAAGTGGATGGAGAAGAACAACTTAAACTTAGGATATGATATTGAAGAACATCATCACAATTTATCACCAGCTACTCCTTTAGAAAGACAACTTTCTATGGCTACAACAGTCAGTAGTGATGGATTGCAACATAATACTGAAAACCCTCGAATTGGTCACTTGGAATTTAACGAAAATGACCATTTTACCCATGATTTTATAGTTCCAAATTCAACCGGTTTTGCTTCCATTAGTAGTGATGTTTCTCTTGGTGAGAGCTTTGTAGATAATTTAGGTAACAGTAGTCGATCACAAACCTCAGAAGACATAATTGATAGTCTTCCACTTGACATAATTTTATCAACAAAAGAGTTGTTGTGTATGCAAGATATTCACAAAGAAAATGAGAGTGTTTCTCAATTTGAAAAAAAGGTAACATGTCATGATTACTGATATGCATTTTATCAAGGGTTAATCTCATAAAAGACGTTATATATTGTGTGTTTTTTTTTGGATTAAACTTCCAACTTTATTTTTTTTCTGAAAAAGACCTTGTAATTTTTCATTTTTTCTGAAAAAAAACCCTCAATTTTGTCTTTTTTCCGAAAAAAACCCTCAACCTTCTAACAGCTTCCAAATAAACCCTCAACTATTTTATTTTTTCTCGAAAAAACCTTCACATTTTACAATTTTTATTGGAAAAAAAAATGACTAAAAGGGTCAGATTGGAAAAAATGAAAAAATACAAGGTCTTTTTCAGGCAAAAAATAAATTTGAGATTTAATCCGGAAAAAACACAAAATATAAGGTCTTTTATTAGATTAATCTTTTTTTTTTTTTTCCGAAAAAACTTGTAAAATGTGAGGGTTTTTTCAGGAAAAACTAAAAAAGTTGAAGGTTTTTCCGAAAACATTTAAAATTTTGAGTAGTTTTTTGGAAAAAATAAAAAGTTAAGGGTTTTTTTTGGAAAAACTAAAAAAATACAAGGGTTTTTTCAGAAAAAAAAAATAAAGTTGAGGTTTAATCCGGAAAAAACACAATATATAAGGTCTTTTATGAGATTAACCTTTTTATCAAGTAAGAAGTATTTCATAGTTTTGATTTGTTACCTTTTTTTTAGAATGTTAAAGATGATAAGAGAATGACAGATGGATCCATTAGTGATGCAACAATTGCTGAAATTCAAGCAGGAATACACGGTTTACAAGTATTGTACATTATTTAACAACCATTCTCAATTTGAAGCTTTAAAACTGGGAAATCTCTGATAAAGTCCCAATATTTTGGGTCAGTTTACGGTTTAATCCAAACTTTTATTTTTTGAACAAAAAAGTCCTGATTATTTTGTATTTTGCCCAAATTAACGAAACAGTCATTTTTTTCAACAGAAAACGATAAATTATCGTTTAAAATTAGATAATCGGGACTTTTCTGTTCAAAAAAACAAATGTTGGGATTAAATCGTAAACTGACCCAAAATATTGGGACTTTATCGGAGATTTCCATTTAAAACTGTGGCTCATTTTTTTTACTCTTATGAGTTATGCAGACTATAAAAAATGGTGATCTTGAAGAACTAAGTGAATTAGGACGTGGCACTTTTGGAACTGTTTATCATGGGAAGTGGAGAGGAACAGACGTTGCTATCAAGAGAATTAAAGAAAGTTGTTTCTCAGGCAAACCATCTGAGCGAGATCGATTGGTAGGTCATAAATATATTATTATTATTATTATTATTATTATTATTATAGCATCCTACTTTCATTTTCTCTATTGAACATTCAACTTTTATAGCATTCTACTTTGAAAGCTTTTCCATATTAGAATATTTCCTAATATGGCAAGACAAATTGCTATAACTGGATAGAATTTTTGTTTCCAACGTATAATGTCGCATTATGAATAATAAACAAATGGGATAATGACATAAAAACCCTTAAGTTTGCAAGTTTTTGTCGGTTTTACCCTTTTGAGAATTTTAGGTTTATTCGGTTTTACCCTTTTTTCTGGTTCATAAAAGCCTTTAAGTTTGGTAGAAGTTTTCAGTTTTACCGGATAAATTTGCAAAAGGGTTTTTTTTTTTTTTTGCAAATTTGAGGCATCAATGAACCTAAAATACAACTTTGGGTAAAACTGACAAAAACTTGCAAACTTAAGGGTTTTTATGGCATTTGTCCTAAACAAATCAATGAAAGTACGTTGCTATTTGACTATTTTCTATATTTAATTTTTAGACAAAAGATTTCTGGAGAGAAGCTCAGATTTTGTCACAATTACATCATCCAAATGTGGTGGCATTATATGGCGTTGTACGTGATGGACCGGGGGGGACATTATCTACTGTTACTGAGTATATGGCTAATGGCTCATTAAGGCATGTTCTTTCAAAAAGAAATAGGTGAGAAATTTACAAACTTTAAAAAAAAAGGAAAAAAAAAATGAATATGTAATAAGAAAACCTTATTGTAGGGCACTTGACTATCGGAAAAGACTTATAATTGCACAAGATGCTGCAATTGGCATGGAGTATTTGCATTTGAAAAACATTGTTCATTTTGATTTGAAATGTGATAACTTGCTTGTTAATTTGGGAGATCCTGAACGACCCATATGCAAGGTAAAATTCGATACTATGTATGTATGTATGTATGTATGTATGTATGTATGTAGTTTGTGATTAAAATTTAATTTTTTTTATTATTTTTTGAAGGTTGGTGACTTTGGTTTATCAAGAATGAAACGTAAATCACTTGTTTCGGGTGGTGCACGAGGAACACTTCCATGGATTGCCCCGGAGCTTCTAGATGGTAGCAGCACTCGGGTTTCTGAGAAAGTAAGTTGTATAAATATTGTGAAATGATATTTTTTAAATGCAAGGATAAAATGGTCATTTACATCATTTAGTCGGTATATAAGCCGTCTAGAAAAGAAACAAACCTTATGTATACAACATTTTATCCCGGCATCATTACTCACTCGGTCTTGAACATTTTTCTCTTATTATTAATTTGTTTTAGTGTTTTTAAATCTTCTTTTGGCTTATGGAATCGCTAGGTGGATGTATTCTCATTTGGTATTGCAATGTGGGAGATATTGACCGGAGAGGAGCCTTATGCAGATATGCATTGTGGTGCCATCATAGGTAAGACCATGTTGCTATTCTCTATGGTCTGTATTTATTTCATAAGGGCATTTACGTCTTTTCACTAGCAAAAGATCGAGAACAAGTCTACATCCCACCTTTTCTAGTGGGACGAGAATTACAAAGTCCATGTCACACCTTTCAAAGTGGGACAAGATTACAGATTTGTCCCATTGACATCAGTACAGTACAGGTCCAATGCATGTCAAACACAGCACAATACTGTCAGCTTTCTTATTATGTAATTAATGAATATCTAATGTTTTAAATTGGTATGAAGGTGGGATCGTTACAAATACCCTTCGACCTCCAATCCCAAGACATTGTGATCATGGATGGAGGGTATTAATGGAAAAGTGTTGGTCAAATGATCCGACAGACAGACCATCCTTTACTCAAATAGCAAACCATCTTCAAGCCATGTCCCATGCATTCCAATCAAAAACACAAAAACGAGCAACAAGAAATTGAACACCACCACTTTATAGATTGAAACGACATATTGAACTTAAAACAAAAAAGTAAAAAAATAAAAAAGAACAATCGTAAATTTGGTTGTCAATGAAGTATACTTCCTTATGTAGCATTTTTGTATGATACTTAAATTGATGATAATAATTTAATCATACATTCAAAGAAAGATCATCAAGGTGTCGGAGTTTTAAGGGAAAATTGTGCGGAATAGTAATTTAATTTACTCTTGCTATTGGGCAATGTACTTTATTTATTATATATTGCTCTTATAAACATGTAACTACATTGAAACATTTTGCTACCAATATGAGCATTGTATTTTATTTATTATATGTAAAGGGAATGTAAGCATGTTGCTATTATGAGTTACATATAGTTATTATTGGTTAAAAAAATTATATAAGTATGTTGTTGTTGTGGGTAAAAAAATATATGTTTATATTGGTAAAAGGAGTAATATATGTTACTATTTTTTACAATTTGCCAAAGTTTTAATTCCAAGACACCTTCAACTAAGAGAAACATGATAAATATCCCAATACGAACCACCTAGGTGGCTGCTAGAGTTGTTGGAAGAATAATAGGTTATTTATTTATTAATTTGTTTTTTATTTTTATACAAAAGGTGAAGCAAAACCATGTGATTGCAAGTTAGAAAAAAACTCAATAAGCTTAGAAAATGTAAGCAGCAAACATTCAATCATTGATCGTAGTGACCAAACATATAAATACAAAATTGTTCTCATCAATCAGTTCTTTGAAAGGGAACTATAAAAAAGGAATAGGAATTTCAATGTTTAGTTTTGTACAAAAAAAACATCATTTACATGATTTCTTCACCTAATTCAATAGTCTCTATCGTATCCGGTGCAAGCGTAGAAATAACATTGATAGCCTTTATGTTCTCTTGAATATGCATTTGGCATATAGAGATTGAAATAACTTGTCTCACATTGATAAAAAGTAAGAATTAAAAAAAAAATGAAGGAGAAATGAAGCAACAATGATTTATAAGTTATGAAGGAGAAATGAATCAATGATTTATAAGTGGGTAGATTTTTAAGTACAACAATGTAATAAGGAGAAATGAAGGAAGTCAATAGACAAATCAATGAAAGTTCATTGCTTTTTAATGCATTTAGCCCAATAAAAAAATTAAGCAACGTGAAGTGTGATGTGATCTAACATGATGCTCCTTCGTAGCACAAGTAATAATAGATGACATGTTAGTGTTGCTTAGTTTGTTTGGCTAACACGAAAGAAGGATTTTATTCTACACTGTTGATTTTGAAAAAAAAAAGACAAATAAAATGAATCTCCACGTAAAAGCTTATTGGAAACTGAAAAATAAAAAACATGTGAAAACTAACCAATCAATCAATGTGCGCCCAACTCCCAAATACCACCATAAATAGCTAATAATGAAAATTAGACCGGTGTAATAGGTGTATAATAGAGTGGTGTATAAAAAAAATGCCCTTGGAGTAAATGTTGTGGGTCATTGAGTGGCAGGCGGAACAACACAGATGAAAATGAACGATGATTGGCTTTTGCTTTTTTTTTTTGTCTGATAGGACGTGCGTGTACAAGCCAATAGGAAGAAACATAAATTTTAATATTTATCAGTTTGTAAAATTTAGATAGGGTATTTATATAATTTTATAATTTGTAATTTATAAGTTTGATTAAAATACATTATAATATGCAAAAAGGGTATATTAAAATTTTCGTTTATCTTTGGACCCTAAAAAAAAAGCAAAATATGCTAACGAATTGGAAGGGGATGATGTATCAAAAGATTCAAAACACCCATTAATTATGCAAACTAAATAAGTAACTTTTCTAATATACGTAACAGGAATTTGATCATAATGCATTTCATTACCAAGATGGCCAAAGTAATGTATTTATTAATGATTACCGTTATCGGTAAAAATAATGTAGGTATGTTCCTATTAGTGGTGGTCACTAGTGCGCCGCTGGATGATGGTAACATGAGCCCGTGCTGCAAATATAGGTTTGAATTTTGTTTTCTAAATAAGTTTCAGAAATGGATTTGTGGATTTATTTCAATGTCTACGGTGAAGAAGTTGAAGAAATCAAATAATATGATTTTGATTTGATGCCACTGGTTTTTTTCATGTTGAATGCAAATAATCTTCATAATTTCATCTTCATTAATATGTTTCTAAAACCCTTTTAAATATGATATTTTTAGTTTGGTGAAGTAGAAACAAACTTGATTTTTTCTTTTGGGTTTCCAGAGACGGTAAGTATGTATGAAAAGAGAAAATGAACATTAATCAAGCACAATAACATCAAACATGGGCATTTCTGGTTTTTGATTTGATGATCTTTGAAGAATATGGGAGGTAATGTGCGGACAATGATGCCCAACAGTTAGGTTCTCAATAAAGGAAGCAGTTGTTTGTTAGTTATAGAGAAGGACATATAGGGTCGTCGCAGAATACGTTGGGTCGGACCGGATGAGGTTCACATCGCCGGATAATACGATGGGTTTGTCGGAGATGGGAGGGGGTGGGATTGGATGGTTGGAGATGGGGCTTATTCCATTTCTAAAATTTTTAAAGAATAAATAAATCATAATATAAAGACAATTTAGTCATTTTATGTCTTATTGAGATTAAAATCAAAATAAAATCAAATTACTGAAATGGTTAGTGTTACAATTAAAAGGGACTTAGAATAAAAAATAACCATAATGACAATTTTTATAATTTACTCAAAATTTTATTTCAAAAACTTCACAAATAGAATGAAGTTCAAGAAAGTTTCGAAGGTATTTCTAATATATTGATTTTTTTAACGAACAAGCTCTTTTTTAGTTCACCCTCATCATGTGTTTTCGATTTTCATGATATCGGCGGTAAACACTACATGGAGGGGACATCAATGGATATACCAAATTCAAATATTGGTGTAGTTACCGGTATACCAGATAACGAGGATATTTGTTGTTTAATTTCAATAGGTTTTTGGTTTTATTTTAATGATCGGATTTATTCTTTCATCATCTTCTAAAAAATCAACAAACAAGAACGGTTAAATAATGATATTGTCGAAGTTGATGTCTATTTTGATCATCTCATAAGACTAATTGATATGATGTTCGATTTGTGTCGATTTCATTCGATAAACTTCTTAGTTTCTTTAACTTCTTCTCCATAAACTTCATTACTTTTTTTAATTTATTATAAAATCACTTAATGGACATCTTATGATGGAGAGAGAGTGTGTATTTTTCTCTCCAAACATGAAAAGATATACATAACCTAAAGATGTCCATAAACTCGCCAACTCGCCTAGTCACTAGAGTGACTCGTCGAGTTCCTAAGGTTTGCGGCTGTAACCTCTTTGGCTAACTCGTCGAGTTCCTCTTGCAACTCACCAAGTCCATACGTGCCCAAAGGTTGGGAAAACCCTAGCCGACTCGCCGAGTCACTCATTTGACTCGCCGAGCCCACGACAATCTTCATCGGACTCGCCGAGTCGACCATGCGACTCGCCGAGTCCCTTCAGTCCTTCATCCATACAGAGGCTTTTTAAGCCATGCTAAGACTCCAAATTGAAGATCCATATTCCCAAGGCATGTTTATCACGTAAAGTTGCAAACTTTACGTGCATGCAAAGCTCCAAAGTCTTAAAATGACAAAACTAAGCTTGTAAAGAAGCCTCACACTTGAGGAAGGTTCATGCTTGCCAAAGCTGAAAACTTTATGGACCTAGAGACCAAGGAGAGTCCAGATCTGAAGTTACAACTTCAGATCTTCGCTTATACCCAAGAATGGCTTCTTATTATGCTAGAAAAGCCCTAAAATCCACCCAAAAGAGATCTAGAATGAAATGGGGTTAAGATAACAGCTTAATACCTTCCCAAAAGATGCCAACTGAAGTAGATCTTGATTCCCACAAGTTCCTTGCTTCAATCCACTTGCTTTCCCCAAGTTTTTCCTCACCAAGATCCTTCTTCCAAGCTTAAACACACCAATGAAGCACACACACACGATTTAGGGTTTTAGAGTGTCAAGGGGCTGTAAAGGGGAGGCTGGGGAGGCCAATGATCCTTTAAATAGGGTGCAAAACCCCGAAATTTAGGGTTTCATCTGCCAGCTCCTACTCGTCGAGTCCCTTCTTGGACTTGACGAGTAGGTCACTAAAACACGTGGACCAACCCGCAGCTACTCGACGAGTAGGGCAACCAACTCGTCGAGTAGCCCTAAAATCTAGAAAATCTTATATAAAAATCCATACCTGAGAATCGAGGCATTACAGTTCTCCCCCACTTGAACTAGACTTCGTCCTCGAAGTCCGCCGTAATGAACAGTTCCGGATAGTGCTCCCGCACCTCTGCCTCCGGCTCCCACGTCCATTCGGATCTCCTCTGATGCTCCCGCTGTACCTTTACCAAAGGTATCTCCTCGTTCCGCAGAACTTTCATCGATTTCTCCAGTATGGCCACATGCCTCTCCACGTTATTCAGGCGTTCATCGACCTGAATATCGTCCAACGACACCACTGCCTCCTGATCCATAATGCACTTTCGCAACTGCGAAACGTGGAAAGTGCTGTGGATCTGGCTAAGCTCCTCCGGTAGCTCTAGCATGTATGCTACCTTGCCAACCTTGGCAATGATCCTGAACGGCCCAATGAAACGGGGACCCAATTTTCCCCTCTTCCTGAAGCGGATCACACCCTTCCAGGGTGAGACCTTCAGGAGTACCATATCACCCACCTGAACCTCTAACTCAGATCGGCGTTTTTCGGCGTAACTCTTCTGTCGACTCTGAGCGGTCTACAGTCGCTGCCTAATCTGTTAAATCTTCTCGGTAGTCTGCAAAACTACCTCCGTCCGTCCCATCACCCTGTGTCGGACCTCACCCCAGCAAACTGGGGTGCGACATCTCCGCCCATACAATAGCTCGAAAGGCGGGGCACCAATGCTGGAATGATAGCTGTTGTTGTAGGCGAACTCTGCAAGGGGTAGGTGGGACCCCCAGCTCCCACCGAAGTCAATGACACACGCCCTCAACATATCTTTGAGGGTTTGAATGGTCTGCTCGCTCTGACCATCGGTCTGCGGATGGAATGTTGTGCTAAAGTGCAACCGCGTGCCCAGTTCCTCGTGGAACTTCTGCCAGAAACGGGAGGTAAATATAACATCCCGGTCGGAGACAATGGAGACCGGAACCCTATGGCGAGCCACGATCTCGTGGACGTACACGCCGTCCAACTTCTCGGCCGATGAACTCTCCCGTATGGCCAAGAAATGGGCACTCTTGGTCAATCGGTCCACGATGACCCATATAGCATCAAACCCCTTCGCCGTCCTCGG